CTATATGAGCAATCATACTCTCCGCCAGGTGAACGGCGTGCAAGATATCATTACTATCGCACAAGAAGGTAAAATCTGGTGGACGGGGATGTTACTAGCTTTGCCCACATTCCAGCCACGAAGAAAATGACCACTCTTATGGTCTCCGAATTGTTGGCGTCTATCGAACAGGCAATGAGTACCAGCTAGAATATACAGTCCAGAATCGAAGCGCCTGGCATAGTTGCACCCGGCTTTTGGGAGCAGCAAGTCATTGACTTGAGAACTATCCACGCCAGTTTTCTGGGCAGTCTTGGTATTCTTGGTAATCGCAGCTGATATCTGTGAATTGTTTTGAAGAGCACTGAAGAGCTCGATGTTTTTCGTTTATGAATATCACTGTGTTCTAAAAATCTGTTGTTTTTCGTTAGAATTTGTTTGTCGTTTTCCTCGTTTGTAGGCTAGTTTATCACTTGTATTGGGAATGAATATCGATCATTGTCACAGCAGTAAGTCGACAGTATCCGCTTGGCATGGAGGGGAACTGCTGGCGCTTCCTCGGCAGCATTCTTTAGGATTAATTTGTTTATGGAATACGCATTCTGTTTTTCTTAGATTTTTAAATAGAGCACGTTTTTTCTTTTTTCGTGCTTTTTTACCCTGTTGTTTGTATTATTTATTTATTATTTATCTGGCCTTGTTGAAAATGGCATTGCATTCTTGGTGAATGAAGAAGTTGAACGGAAAGCTCACAAAGACAATCTATGAACACGGCACTGGAAGCTATGCTTTAATTAGAGCAGATATTTCATGGAAGGACTGAATCATATATTGCTGAAATCGGCGTGAATCCTGAAAAAAAAAAAATCGCAGAATTGGTGGTTTATAAGTCTGATACCATCAAAAAAAAAAAAAATCGATTCGGGTCAATTTTCTTAACAGTTCAGTTTTTTACGGACGTCGAGGATTTTTGTAATCATTGCAATTCATCCATAGGGCCTAGCCGAACTAGTAATGAAAGCACTTGTAAGGATAGTTGTTTTGGCGTGATTTTCTACAAAACGCTATTTTCTTTTCCAAAAATCTGTCGAAACTCCCAACTAACATCTCCTTTTTCTTGCAAAAAACCACTCTTCCATTGATTGTTTTAAGCAGCAGTATCTTTCCGAGGACAGAAACTGTGTTGTAAGAAAGCAAACGGCAGCATACCGTGTTTTCGGCAGACCTGTACGATGTAATATGCACGCATATCGAATGGTTTCCTGCAAAGCGGTAACAAATACCATATCCACTTTTGCATACGGCACCAAAACCGGCACCGAACCAGGAAAGGCCCGGTTCTGAGTCCTCATCCAATTGCTGCGACATATTTGGCACCTGGAACACAACGGACCGAAACTAAATTGATATTTTTCCGAGTAAGCTGCAGCTGTTTCGAGCAACCCCAAATACGAGGTAGTGAGAAAGGACATGGGATGGGACAAGCATTAGGACAAGCCAACAGTGGGACAAACATACCTTTTTATGCGTTTTTGCTGTGCAGCGTTACAGCGGGCAGCAAAAGCTCATATTGTGACGACCCTGTCTGTCCGTGTGTTCATCTGTCCAAGTTTTTTCTACTCGTCGGTCAGGCAAGCTTTGATGCTGAAATTTTGCCAGCGTGTCCCCTGGTAGCTGCGACTGTCCTTACTGAATGCTTCGGGCAGTCTGGGCTGTAATGGCTAGCGGCTCGACTTTGTTCCATTGCCATATTGTTTACAATAAGTTACCAAGAACACCAAGAGTTCTCGGACTAACAGTGCGAGGGCCCCGTTTTATTCGTGTTACTAGAATGTTCGCAAACGTCGAGCGCAACTATGTGAAGCCCTTCAATTTCCTGAGCTGCTTGTCTCCAGTTAGTACTCATCGCCTGTTCAATGTAACTGTGCGCAACCTCTTCAGGGGTCGCACGAGTGGTCGTTTGCCGCTCACTAGTGCACACTGTCCATCGGTTGTCAGCAAGGCGAGTAACATGTTAGCAGGTTCAAATTACTCAAACTGCTTCATTTCGATAATGCTTTCCCTCGATCAACAAGGAACTTTGGTTCAGTGTGTTACCTGGCTTGTACTGAGTTGCCACTCCTGGCCAATGTAGTACTCCAGGAATGGGCTGCGTATACTGGTTAATTTGCTGAGAACGTAGAGAACAAAGAGGTGCCGATCGAATCCCTGGCCAACCATGCATTGCGTTTTGTGCAAGCCATGCACTTCCACAGCACGTAGCAGTAAGCTCAGCCGCTCTTCACGCTGCAATTAGCATTCCAGCTATTTATTCCTTGAAGTACTTCGTGCTCTAATTTCCCTTTTTACCGAGTTTTAAATTACAAAATTTGACTGAATTTTAACCTGAAGACAGAACTTATTGCATACGCTAAACTGAAAGTTAGCTTTCAGATTTTTTACATCCTGTAAGATCAGTTTAAAAAAATTTCAGAATGCGAACCCTTTATGGAATTTGCCCGAACTGACACCCAATGTCAAAGGTTAGAACGAAAAACGACCTGACAGTTGATTTCAGGGTCGAGGCATCTCCAGTGGTTTTTATTTATAAAATTTTAGTTTCCTATATTTCTGGAGTTAAAACGTTGCGAGGCACACACACTTGCTATCTGGCCTTTATCGCGTTCCTGTATCGTCAATGTGGCAAAAACACGCATGAAGAAAATGATAGCCTGTATCCACGTTGACATTATGTGTGTGAGACTTGCATCGCTCCTTTCCCTTTCCTTGCCCTGGAAATCCTTAGCACAACACAAGCTGAGGTTGCTTAATTGGGGAAGGGAAAGAAGGGAAGGGGAGGGGAGATGAATTCTATTTGGCCTGCCTTCCGAACCTGTCGAAAATAGATGCTTCGGCGATCTCGACCAGTGCATCCACATTATTTTAAGCCATTCTGCACAGGTGTTTGAACGTCATCACATAAAAGTAGCATGTGGATGTGTAAAGCAGCTTACGGAGCTGTTTGCGTCAAGCATTGATCGAACAAATGCACATGATTCTTTTGTTACGGGGCGTAGCGTTTCTGTTCTTGAAGCTGCAAAAAATCTTGCGGATGCCGATTCGTATGTTAGGCAGAATTTCCCTTGATCCTGGAAGAACACGTTCAAGAATGTAAGAAAGAGGCCCTAAAGTAGTACTGCACTTGTTAATCCAAAATTTCTCTGTATCGCTTGAAGTTGCACCACAATTTCAGTGAAATCGGAGATCCTCCACACTTTCTTTTGAAACAGTCTGCAGTTGAAGACTACATAATATGCTGGCTTCAAAACTTCATACGCATTCAGTTCATAAATTTGGACCTCGAAACTCTGGCAATAATTAGAACAGCTGACCCTATAAGAGGCAAGCTGGAGAGCCATTTGAACAAATGCATCTGGTGAAATGCTGCCCTCTTTTAGAAGTCCTTTGCCGAAATCAGCGAATACGATCGATGCAACATCCAGGTCGCTGATCTGTTGCTGATAGTCCGCGTAACAACGCATAATTTCTTTGCTCATCTACAACTGTGCTTTAGGTAAATTTTGTACATCACATTTCCTATGTTTTGCATAAATAATTTACGCAGTACTTTCTCACGATGAGAGCTTATTTGTATGAACAGCTCTGTGTGTGTGTATGTATGTGTGTGTGTGTGTCCGTCGACTTCCGGTCAAATAATTAGATTTCAGAACCATAAAAGTTTGGAACTGATATTTTCGAGATATTGCTTTTGCTTTTTTAAAACTTGGACCATTGGCCATATATGCAATGCTAAAGACATCGAATCAATTTTCAGCGCTCTCTGCATTCCGGGCCATTATTATCTCAGGACCAGTAACTGACAGTGTCAAATTTGACATCATGCATGAGCCCTTCAGCTTTCTTTCCCTTACTTTGAAAATCCTCAGCACAACAAACATTGCTTCTGATGACTTGAGATTGCTTTATGAGTCCCATGTATGGGCTAAAACAGCTTTCCCTGCGTTTTGAGCTGTCACGTCAGGTCCAAATTTTGGTTAGTAACAGAACTCGAAAATGTAAAACGTTACACGTTCATAATTTCGAGTGTTTTTAACTCATTCTGCACTGCGGAGAAAATCTCCTAGCTTCAAAATTTCACAGACCCATAGTAACTTGACTTACAATCCCAGATCAAAATTGAGGTTAGCGGCGAAAATCAACAATGATAGGGCGAAACATTTAAAATTTTCATAAACTAATTCGTGGAAAAGCGGAGGATGAACAGTCTGAATTAAACTTTAGACCTTGCTGTGGTTGGGCCGTGACCTCAAATTGAGGAACAGACTACTTTTTTTTCAACAATATCAAACCAAACAAACTTTTTCATCAATATCAAACTTCAGTCGAACAGCGTATCTGTTAGGTCTCGACAGCTTCTCAGCTGGTGCAATTTTTGCGCCAGCTCCAACCTCTTCGACTTTTTCCGGATACCTACAAAACTTTCAAGAAGTACTTTCAAGGCAATCACAAAATATTTTTGGGTGGAATTTTAACTGCGCATTTTATTTGCGCTTTCAAAAACCGCACGAATGTCGCAGTTGCATAGGGCGCATCCGCACAGGCATTTTAGAAATTTAAGAGATGAAAAGCGCATAACTTACGTGGAATCAATAATTTTATTATCCATGTAAGCAAAATTCTCAAAGACATAATCGAATTCCGCACCATCGCCGATTGAATGTTCCGTTGTTCCACCACACTCAAAATAAAGTTTGTATTTCAAGAAACAAAAGCAACTAGTGGATAATATTACTAAAAGAATTCCCTTCATTTTAGTACTTCTATGTATCTGATTTTGTCCCGAAAGCTGAGTTTTGAAAGCAAACACAATTGAAAGGGAAGAGAAGCTGTTTTGAGGCGTAGTGCCAAAGTGACTGAAGAGTTCGAGAGATTAGATTTACACCTCAAATTCCACCTCAACGGAATTTTACACCTCATTTCGATTAGCTAAGAAACAATTGCGCTGTATGTTGGTCAATCAGAGAAGGCAAAGTACAAAACTAAGGTCCATACGTTCTGATAGCTTCTACTATCTACACAAAATTCGGTATTTGTCAGAGAAAACAATATTCAGCAACTGGGAAGAACTGAAACCCATTTTACGATTAAGGTATAAGTAATAAATAGTCTCATAGATATTATTATCGAAAGTCAAAAAAAAAACGGACTCGTCCATTAGCAGCAACCACGTAATTTAGTGACTTATCCGCCCAGCGATTGCAGCCATCACCAGCCAGCATATTTTTGAAGAAGCTACCAAGCATCTCCTACAATAAGAAAAATGTTCTTTGGTCAAGTTTTAAACTGAACAAAAAATCAGTGATACGGCATAAGCTCATTCTGGGACTCCAACGAAAACTTATTGGAACTTCGCGGTACACCGATAACGGGAAAATACTTGCCGAGTCGTCGTCATAATACTCTGAGTGATCGAGGACAAGAAAGAAAATGGCCGATTCAATCGCACATAACGTTTCCTTATTGATGGCATTTTCAAGAAAGAACTGGCGACGATTTTCGTGCCATCGATCGCGAGTATCTGTAGTCAGAGCGGCGATACGACCCTCCACTTCTCCAACGTTTTCGTCACGCATCAGCAATTCCTCAAATATCCTAAAATTATGCTAAGCTGTTGTAGCTCAAGCGATCCGAGTAACACGAAGTAGAGAGTTAGCAGCGTAGATTTCTTTACCTTACGAGTTATAGGGAAACATACGTCGGTGGTTTTCAGAGTTTGATTGAGTAATTAGTCATACTTTTAGAATTTTCGTCATCGAAAATTTGTGGCATTAAAGTGCATTAAAGCGCTAAGGATAAAATGAGCTTATAAGCAACCAGACATGTGAAATCCTTTAGTGTAAAAGTCCCAGTTAATTTCAGGATTTAAGTTTAAGCCAGAATCAGTAGCTCGGACAACAAGTGTCGGCTTGTTTTTTTAAAGTTTTTATCAAATTTGAAACTACTAACTCAGTAAGTTCATCAAGACTATAAATACGGTCGTCTTCATCGAAAACTCGCAACTTGTAAATACAGCCGCGATGGTACACAGCGATGTGACGTGATAGGCCATATGTTTCTAAGTGATCTGTAATTTCAAAAATGCCAAAGCTCGATTTTACGCTCAGATATAAGACACTGACATCTTTTCGAGTACTGTACTCATAAGCAATTTTGTCAAATAATTTTTAAGCAAGCGATGCGTACCGGGAGATCAGTTGCACATTTTTGTGAAAAGCTCCTAAACCTGTTCAGCTAGCCGACGCCTGAGTTCAGACAATTGGTTCAATGCATGAAAACAGAAAGAGTTCGGATTCGCGACTTATTTTGTTCAGCTGTCAGGTAATGGTCATTACTTATTCTGAAGTACGGTTAGAAGATCCTGTCGTCGTTAGCGGCTATCATTTCGTCTTACACACCCAGCTCAAAAGCCCATCAATTTTGAATTTTTAGCTTGCCCAAATTTAGCACTGGTTCAGTAGTCAAAAATAAGAAAATTTAGAGCCAAATTTTTCGCTAGTCCTTCGAATTCTTCTACGAATCGTTCTCCTAAAATTCCAATCGGTTTTTTGTTTTCTTCGTTCTTGAATCGTATATCAGCCCGAATGGACTTGAGACTATGCATCAGCACATATAAAGAGTTTTTTCAAATTTCAGGGCTGTAGCCGAGCACGGACGAGGGCTGTGGAAATATACGTTCCTAAATTCTTCAAAATTAAAAGACACTGGCTCTCTACAGCGCTTCGCTTGTCTAAGCCTACAACGCAAAATTCATTAAAAATGTGGTTAATCCAGTAAAAAGAGCTTAAAATTTGGCTGAAAAGCGTTAACTGCGCGAAATAGTATTTTAAATTGTGTGAAGAAACATTAAGTTTGGCTAAGCGTATCGGACTGGGGAAGGGCGAATATGGTTATTTCCTGTTAGGCCCAAAACCGCATTTGAAATAGTACCAACAATTTTGCCAGGTACTCGTGTAGTTACATAGCTCTTGGGATAATGTGATAAAGAAATCATTCCATTGGCAATCTGAAATAATGCGGTACTTATGGTAGAAATTAATTATTTTTGGCTATTAGGTTATTTGCCTCATTTTCTTGCATGCTTGATTTGAACAACCTTTACTCATTTCGAGACTGACCTTGAAATTTCTACGTTTTCATGATATTTTGATAATGTTCATTAAGCCGTATACATCAAGCTGAGTGGGATTACATAGATTTTTAAACAACTCAGCTTTCCAGTGTGCCGTCCGACTAGAGGGGATTAATTAAAAACGGTCCTTCATTGCAAATTTTTATGTACGATTTGTGCCTTTACTGTACTAGCAATTGTGTAGGCATGTGTAACTATTATTCTACAGCATGTTTATTATACTAAAACTATTACGCAGTGCTGTTATACGAATAGGACAGGGAATAAGAAGAAAGGGGGGGGGGGGGGGGGGGGGGGGGAAAAAAAAAAAAAAA